CCTTTGCCAGTACAAACTCCACGTAACTTTTACAAGGTCTTTTATTAGCAGTCTCATATTTGAAAAAAGATGGAGAGACACTGCATCCTTTGGGCTTAAAACCTTTTAAAATTGACAAAGATGTTGAACAGTAAATGTGGTCATGAAGATGCACAAAAAGTCTTCATTTTTAGAATATTTTCATTGCTGGTTTTGATGAAAATTTATCTTATTTCTATCTTCTTGATGTGCTTCTACACACTTGACTCTTCTTTCTTGAGCTACATTTTTTTTTTCTGGTTCTGTTTAATTTGGGATCTTTTTTTTTTATAGGCCAAATTTTTGTAGAGCTATTAGTAAATGTAAAGCTCATAGAAAACAAGTGGTGGCTTCTCTTTTGGCTTCCATTAGTGCAAAAAATAATGCAAATCATTGATTTTAAAATAAGTGCCTCTTGGCCTGGAACTGTTTCCTGGTTCCACTCTGTACTTAGGATAGAAGAAAGAATTTCATATTACTGAGCAATGCAGAAAAATGGGAATATGCATGCACAGCCTGGGTTTATAAGTAAAGGTGGTGAAGCCATGAGAGCTCTGTCATTCTGCTTCTGTGTACCTGCAGAGCAATCCAAAGTGTCTGAGTCAGGAGAATGTGACTGAATGTTGTGTAGGAAACCATCAAGGAGTGGGATAATGCCTTAAAATTTCTTGGTCTGTGGTCGTTCATTTAAACTGATAACAAAAGTAAAGTGAAAAATCTAGGTAGATTTACTTTTTTTGAAAATATGAAGCACCCAGCTAGCAGCTGATCAGAGGAAATCCCTACATCAGAGGAAATAAATTTCAAGAGATAAAAATTATGTGATACTTCCTCACAGACACCATGAGGCCTTGGGTCTGGCTCTTCCCTTCCAACTGTGGAGGCCCAGTCATGGTGTTTACAGGTTTGTCTTCACCACAGTGCAAGGCAGGGATATGGTGGAGCAGTGACATCCCAAGTAATGCTCTCCCACGTCTTGGAAAACAAAAGATAAAGCTGCCAAATAAGAACCCAGGAAATTAAAAAGTTATTGCTGCAAAGAGGAGGAAGAGCCACGTGCAGGAGGGGCACCATCAACAAGCCTTAGTGATGCTGGTGCAGAAGGCAAAGGAAAGTAGTGCAACAGTAGAAAGAAATGGAGGCAGATGTGGTATGATGTGGGATCATTTTGTCAGCTCTTTGGGTGAAAAACCTGTTTAAACTGGTAGAGGAGAAAGCTCAGTGTCTATGACTGAGCAATACTGAAGGGCCCTGCACCAACAAGTGAAGACAGCAACTCTCTGTAGCACTCAGGAGCATTTTTCTGACTGTGGGGATTATGAGTGCAGGTACACGATCTCTTTACAGGGCATGGGAAAAAGAAAGAAGATTCCAGACCTGTAAAGAGATTTCCAGCATAGATTAGTCTTTGGGCATGTTGATACTGTATGGATAGATGTACACTCATCGTGCTCGTGATATTCACTGAAAAAAATCTTTCTCATGAGGGATTATTAGCTCAGGCTTGGTGCCAGTGCAATCACATGGCTTCTGTCAGATTGGAGCGTGGGCAGAGCTTGCTCATGGCTGTTTGCAATATGTGGTGTAAACATACCCAAAGAGTAATAGCAGGTGGTAGCAGAGGAGGTGCATAGAAAGGAAGACTTGGAACAAAAGATGCTAAGCTTCATTTGCCGTGTGATGAGCCAAATTCATCATTGGTGTAACGCCCTGAAGTCAGTGCAGTTATAATAATAAAATTAGTCCAAGGGATCATATCCATCCCTGGCAGTCCATGCAATGCCTTTGATCTGATGGGGTATAAGTCATGGCAGCATCTTGCCTGCTCAACTCACATCATGATGCCTCCGGGGTGTAACATCAGGAAAAAACCTCACAATGGCACTGGGAAGTCACGAGCTAAATTTTAAATGTACATTTCAGTTTGAAATCCTGGCAGAGTAATTCTATTCTTCCAGCATATTTGTCCCAAATGGTAACAATATAATGAAATCTTTGGCCACATATTCAGTGCTCAAAATGGGATTGATTTCTTTCTGTTTAGCTAGTACAAATAACTGCACATGAAGAGTTTATGCAATAGCAGAGGGGGCTATTTTGTCTTGGCAATGGTTTTGTCTGGAGAAATGGAAGAAACTGAGGTAACATGAATATTGTATTTCTTCATGTATTTCTTCATCCACGGTAGAAAAACCAGCATTTCATTTGGCACTCCCTACTTATTAAAGTGCTTTTTTGCATTGCTTCCCAGCTTTAGCTCTGCAGCTCCCAAGCAGGCCAAACACAACTCCTCTCACCTCACTCCTCCTTCTTAAAAGAAAAACTCCAAGAAAAAGCCAACACAAAACCCAAGAAAACAAACCAAATATGCCCCAAGAACCAAGCACGTTCCTCTCTCTTTTTCATTACTGAGTAAACGCCCTCAGAAGTTGTATTGGTAAAACCATCCTCAGCTGGTTTAAGTTCATGTGCCTTGAGTGAGTTCAGTGAGTGAGATCTCAGTTTACAGTAGCTGAGAATCTTGCCCTTGTTTGTAAAGGATCAGCCACCCTACAGGACTCTGTATTCTCTCTGACCCTGGGATTTGTGGTCTAGGCTGAACTGGCTGTCCACTGGAAGTGGTAAGTGCCAAGGAATGGGTGCTCAGGGATTTCTCTGCTGAGCAGCTGCTTCACAGAAGGGCTTTTACCCTTTGGGCTACCCAAAAGCACATTTTTGGTGTTGTTCCATAAGAGGCATAAGCTACTGTCTTTCTCTGCATCTCCACTCCCTCTCACTTGTCTGTGATGAAGAGGATGCTGCAGACAGCAGCTGTGCTGTAAGAAATGATACCTGTGCTTGACATCCCACACCTATGGGAACAAAACTGTGCTTGGCACTGGGGCTGTCCCTGTGCCCTTGGCAGAACTGCAAGGCCACGGCCAGAGCTCCTTGGAAATATGGATTCTACAGGTATGTTGCCTGTGAGTTACTCTCTACTCATTCTTGAACCTCTCACAGAGCCTCAGCAAAGCTGGCTGAGGGAGACATCTCCAAGTTATTTAGTTCCTGCAAATGTGTGGAAAAATACAGAGCCAAAGTAGAAAGGAGGCAAAAGTCATACACACAGCTCTTTGTAACCAAGGGACCTAGAGGCCACATATATGTTTAGTCACAAAGAAATAAAGAAAAAAGATTTTTATTATAGTTTTTGCTTCTGTTTATAAACTATCTGCTCAAGCAGTTTTAAAAAGCACTGAGGTGCCACTGAACATGTAACAGATAAAAGTAGTAAGGTTTTTTTCTGCTCTTGAAATTTTTCTGAGCAGATCAGAGTGTGGTTCTATGCTGTCCTTAGGTTTGTCAATCTTTTGTGAATGTATTTTTTCCCTATTTTTTCAGTCCCACTGGGAAGTAATTTGATACAAGAGCCCACGCTGAGCAACATGGACTCAACCACCACTGGGCAAATGGGTTATGTGTGTGGATGAGCAAGAAGGCAAGTACATCTGGCTCAAATGTCACCTCTGAATTTCAAAATCCTTTTCCATTAGCATCATTCATGTATGAGACTTGGAAATGCATTTTGAGAAATTTATTGTTATTCTGATTTGTGTTAGAGTTGTGTGGAGTGATCCCAGAGAAGACAGGGCCCAATGTGCTTAATTAATTAAGGTGTAGACCTTGATAGATGCAATCTGAGTTTATAACTGAGACAGGTAAGAGAAAGGGAGGAAATGGAAGCACAAAGGGGTAAAAGGATTTGGTCAAGGTCACATCTATATAAGTAAAACTTGATCACCCAACTGTTCTTGGCAAGTAAATATGAAAGGAGAGCAGTCAGCCAAAGTAAATTCACTTTAAAACCTGAATGAAAATAATCAATAGTATTCACCCACTGTGTCCCAGATGCCTGAATCAATTTGATAACAAACAGTTTGTTCCCTTTTCTTAGTTATTTGTAAAGAAGTGGCTTGATTGCCAGTGTGCCTAATTCCAGACATATGCGAATTCCCTAATGGTAATGGAGCTGCACTACTGCATGCCAAGACTGAGGCAGATACTCAGCTCTTTCCTGCTAGATTTCTCCCAGAAGATCTGCAGTCAAATCCCTGTTTAACGACTATCAGACGAACATATGTGCTGCTTGGAGGATCCGCTTTCCATCCAGTGTAAACACGTAACAGTAGCTCGGCTCCCGCGCCGCGGTCGCAGCCGTGTCTGTAAGTGCGCGCTTCGTGCTCGCGTGCACCCACGCCAGCCCAGGGCCACCACGGCGGTGCTGCTGGAGCCACTCCTGCTGTGGCACCTGGGATTCTCCTAGCAGAGCACTCTGCATCCATCCCTCTCCCAGGAGCCGGGTCCCTTAGCCAGAGCCTGCTGGAAGAGGCTGCAGGAGGGCTGAACTCTCTAGGCACGAAGAACAGCTTCCTAAGGAAAATGTCTGGGCACGAAGAGCAGCTTCCTAAGGAAAATGTCTGGGCACAAAGATCAGCTTCCTAAGGAAAATATCTGGGCACAAAGAGCAGCTTCCTGTGGAAAATGTCTGGGCACAAAGATCAGCTTCCTAAGGAAAATGTCTGGGCACAAAGATCAGCTTCCTGTGGAAATGTGATGCGGGTGGTTCTGGTCTGTCAGCCCCAGGTGACTCCCCAGGCACAGCAGCTGGGCCCATGGGAGAGGCACAGAGAGCATTCACAGAGACACTAGCACAGATTTCCTGTCAGAACTGGCACAGCCATCCTGCAGGGGGGTCTGGTCCCACTTTGGCACAGACCAGGCTGCAGGGACAAAACCCCAAAGACTCTTCTGGCAATCAGATCATCCCCCAGATAAGTTTGGGATGGTACATCAAAAGCAGTAGGCTCTCTGCACTGGGGGATGATTAGGCCTATTCTACATAACCCTCCTTCAATAGTCTATGTATTACCTTTCAGCTAACTGAAGATGCTTATTTTTAATTTTTTTCCTTTCCTATTATGTCACATTTACCTTTGAGGTAGTGAGTGCTGCTTACAGTTTGGCTGAAGTTCTCAAAGTGGTAAGTCAATTTCAGCTGTTTTTTTGGTTTTTTTTCCAAAAGCAACAAGAAATTGAATGTATCTGAGAGTACTGATGGTAGGACAAATATACCTTTCTAGAAGTTATCTATCCTAGTCTACCAGCTGAGCGCTGTAAAAATTTCCAGTGCAAGTAATATTGTGTATTCATGATTGCAGGTCATATGGTCTAAAACATCAGCCATCAGAGATTTCCTGCACTAGTCACTATCTGCAGAAGGGTTATTCATTAGGTCTTTGCAAGTTTATATTCCTTGGCCCATCTTACTAGATTCCATATGTTGCTTTTCCATCCCCTTTGAAAATTAAGTCCCCATGTCAGTGAATGATGTGGAAAAGGAACACCCTTTGCTGAAAGCAAACCAAATAATGAAGGTCTGCACTAATACTGTTGCAGAAAAGGGATGGTTTTGGTACTAAAGCTCCTGGGGAAAAGCCAGCTATAGCCTGAGCAGTTGAAACTTGCTATGCTATGTGTTTGACTTGCATGGCCATCTTCTTTATTGAAAGTTCAAAGAAAACTGTTTCTTCCTATACTGTGTCTTCTGTTCTGTACAGGGAACAAATAACCTATTCCTTGCTTCATTCACTTTTGTAACTGCCACTGATATTGCCGTTTCCTGTGAGAAACCATGGAGTTGCATTTGGAATATTTACTGTGTATATTCCAAATTCCGAACATACCAAAGGGTACAAAATACTGTCACTATAAGCACCTTCCCTGTTAAACATACTTGGTCGTAAAATATTAAGGGAAACTAGATCAATCTATTGAAGATATTCACATATAAAAGTGTTTTTCATAGGTCACAGGAATTTACAAGAAAACTTACTACACATTATGGAGCTCTGAGCTGTATGACCATTTTGTATCCCTGTGGATATAGCAAAAGTATGCTCATCAACTTACTGGCACACAACTCAGTTTTTACATGGAAGAGTAAAACTTGGTGTTAAATAATGCCTGAAAGCAAATAGAAAGCACCTTGTCTCCTTCAAATGGCATCCTCCCAGGAAATGCAAAAAAAAACCCCAATATATTATAGTAGCTTATGATCTCATTTAAGTGATTCAACACAACAAAATTTCAATGACATTTCTTTCTTCAGTGACTGTTGACTTGCCTTTTCTCTCTGAACAGCACTACTAGATTTGGATTTTTTTTCATCCTTTCCTTAGGACCATGCTGTGGAAGGCAGCCTATCCTGGGGAAAAATACATATGGTGTATTAAACTACTAGAGATTAACACAAGCCAAAAAATTCATGAATGCCATAGACTCTATAGCTCTAGATGGGGAGAGGAAGACATGTGCCACATCAGGCTGGCTAGACTATCCCCTGAGACTCATGGGATTGTCTCCTACCATAGATGTCTGTGTTTTCTTAGTTTATCTTAGGTTGATTTTTCACAGAACAAAAGCTGTACTTTTCCTGTTAAATTACCCTACAGCTGCCTTATACGGGAAATGTAGATGGCTTATACTTCCTAGTCATACCAATTTTTATGTTTTTCTGAATGGGATTACTGCTTGGGCCTCCAGAAGATGTTATACTTATTTACATTTGAGTTAAGCACTGATGATCCCCTCCTTATGGCTTCACTGCAGAAAGAAGGTGGTGGTGGCAGCAAGCAGATAAATCACAAAAGACATGCTTCATCTGCTTGATCTCTGGTCTCACTTCTGCCCTTAGAAATAGTGCAATAGTTCAAGTTTATAGCCTTTGTGGATTAGAAAAGCACCCTTATGCTGTTGAAAAGAGAAAATGTCCATAAACAGTGTTATTGACAGTTATTAATGTTGTATCACTGAAGACCAGGGCTCATTGTGCTAAGTGCTGTGCAAATGTATTTTAGAGGGCTTCCCTGCTATAAACAGCAATATTCTTGTTAGAAGCAGGAGGTCTTGTTATTCCTATAACTCTCTTTGCTCTATTTTGCAGCTCAAATAGCACATGGGCAGTCATGCCTTAGTAACAGTCAGAAGAACCAACTTAAGACAGACACATTTCCATCATGTGAGTACTTCTTTACATCTTCTGTCTCCACCACATTTGGAGTTTTTCTCTCTTTACTCCAGGGAAAATTTGCCACACTCCACGTGTCCAAAAAGAAACCACCAGAAGCAAGCAGAGTGAAGAAACATAAACTGGTTGAAAAAAAATTTGAGGGTTTCTTATTTTCAAAACAAAATATTTTGATCTATAGCTTTTTATCTTTTAGAATAAGTATGTGCTCAGATTAATCTGTGACTGACACATTTAGGAAGCACTACAGAAAGAGTGAAATTTGCAGATGCCTATGATTGAATTCTAATCAGAAAACAGTTCTTCATTCTTTCTGTAGGTCTAGTCTGGTGATCCAGATTTTCCCTAACCAACATCTACCTAGGGGCAGAAAGATGCTATAAACATCCTAGAGAGATGGTGCTGGAGAGGCTTGAAAGATTAGACATGCTTTCTGTCCCTGGGTTTTTAGCTTTTTGGGTTTTTTTGTTTGGTTGGTTTTGATTTTTTTTGAACATGTTTTTCTTTCCCCCTTCCTTTCTTATAATGACAACTGTATTTACACCTTGCAAACTTCTCACTCTTTAGTTTTGGTAACAGTATTGCTGATTCGTTGATCCATTCATGATCCAGGACTCCTTTCAGTCCTTTCCAGCAATGCTACTGCCTGGCCAATTATTTTATTGTGCTGATACATCTTTTCCTTTCCCCTCTGACCAGCTCTTATCTCACAACAGTCTCCACATTTTCTTTGGTGTGTCCTTTTCAAAACGGGGAGTTAATAACTAGGTCAGCTTCAATAAGAAAAGTGAGTGTGGAGTACTAGTCTGTGCTCAGGAGCCTCCTTGCCCCTTACAGAAAGACTCTCTCACATTTCCTCAATCTTAATCCACTTTTAATGGCCTTATTTATTAGTTGCTAAGCTGTTTTCTTCTAGAGAGCTAGAAAAGATAGCACACATAGTAAGATGCTGGTATTTTATGGTTAGGAACAACATCAGAATGTCTGAATTTGTATCTTGTTCTTTTTGGTGGATTAGGACCACTGAGGAAACTTTTTTAGTGTCGGAATCTGTGGTATTGATGATTCTGAGATTGTAGAAAGTCTCTGTCTTTCAGCCCTGCTGCCAAAGAAGAAACCTGTGCTGGTTTCAAGGTTGTTTATTCTGTTTATCTCTAACATGTTCTGCTGCCCTGCCGCAGCTCTGTCCTGCAGGGCAGCGTGTGGGGCTCTGCCCTCAGTGGGATGTTACAAACATTAAATACCAGAAACTCCCTGTGCTGGATTTACAATAATGTGCCAATATCTGTCATCTACATTGAACAGTGTGTCCCCAACCTAAACCAATAGAAAAATGCCAACACCACAGTGAAACATGGAAGGCATGAAGGAGAAAAAGGACAAGACACACCCAATTTCCTCCATCTTGTTCCCTTTGGACCCCTATCTAGAATCCTAAAATTCTACTTTTGCATCCATGCCACACTTAATTATTACTTATATCAAACACTCAGAGCTTGTAATTCATCCTGTAAGATTGAAAACTCTTTTCCATGGACAGAGATCACAGACAGTGTCTCTGGGGGCTCTGTACAGGGGCATTCCTGACCCCCTGCCAGGGTCCCAGGGCAGCCAGAGGGAAGCCCTGGATTCCCACAATTTAGTACTATCTGTGTTTAAGAAATGAGAACCTGGATGAGATTTCTGGCCCTCAAACAAATTTTCTGAGTGCCCTTTGGTGACTCAGTTGCTTGTCTCTGTTTCAGCTCTGTCTCTGCCAGACTGATGTAATATTCCATGCCTAATGTAGGTGCCAAGGAGCTAAATTAATGAATGCCCGTGGAGCATGCAGATCATTGATGTATGGATCAGTACCCCTGAGGGACACCAGCAGAAAGCTGGTTGGGAACACACCTTGGCTGGCCAGGGTGGAGAGTGAGAAAACTCTCAAAGAAGTAGGCAGGAGGCTGGTAAAAGGAAGCAGGAGAGAGCCTGAAAAAATTAGGGCTGATGTAACAAAAGGCATTCATTACTTGCTACAGAAACTCTAAAGGAATCTGACGTTTGGATGTCCCCTTCAAATTTGGACACTTGGAACACTTTAATCCATCAAATTTGAGTGGAAAGTCTAAAAGTCTAAAGAAAGACCTCCTGAAAAGCATTTGCATAGTGTACACACTAAAAATCTATTGACATATAGATTAATTTAAACCCTGAAATGAAACAAGCATTAAACAAGCCCTGAAAAATGCACACAAACATATTCTGGTGAAAAGCTACATTGTGATCCTTCCTGTAAGAATTACAGCACATATACAATAACTGCCATGAATTCTGCAGGGAATGTGAGAATGTAGTCACCTATTCAGATTGGAGACCATAAAAAAAGAACCTCTAATAACAAGTGGATCCTAACATTTTTTGAAATAACTAAAATAAGAAAGGGACCAGAGGGAGTGAATTGCATAAGGAGTGGAAAATCCTGAACCCATGCTGGCCCAAAAGAAGTATCAGAAAGAAAGAGCTCCTTCAAGTAAAAAACCTCCCAAATTAGACCTTTGTCTGACCAATTCAATAAGAAAGGAACAGGGAATAGGGAAAGTCATTCAAATGTATTCATTAAGCTGGCAGAGAAATGCTTATTAAAGAAACTCTCATCTTGATTCCTTTTTAGGGGAGGAGGAAAAGAAGAAGGAAGGGAAAGATTTTTTTTTTTGTTATTTAACATTAATGGTTCAGAGGCATTCTTCCTATTATTCCTTCTATTTTGACTTGCTGCATTTGAAAAATATGTTGTCTTTTAAATAGATTTATTCCTTTCAACAGCATCTGACATCTTTTGTCAGAAGTTCCTTCATTTTTCCAGTTTATTCCTTAACATGTATTTGTATAAATGGCTTCCACTGCATTAATTGATGTGTTTGTGTCTGTGCAGAGCAAATGCATTCTTCTCACAGGGATTTTAACAGGCATTTGTTCAAGTGTGTTTTGCTTTTCTGTGTCTATTTCTGCTTGTTTTTCTGGGAGAGAAGGAGACATTGCTAACATGCAGCCAGCATAATGAGTCCCATTAACTCCCAGTTCAGTTTGCTTTTTGACCACCTCTCTTTTAATGACTGTACTTTTCTTGACTGCAAAGTTTGGGGAATAGGAAAACTGTTCGCTCCGATGGATTTTAATACATGTTTACATCCTTCTTTGCAGAACGGCACCACCTCTCAATTAATGTTACTCTTAGCCTTAAAAAAGCAATTGGTAATAAATAAATGCGAGCATGTGTTGGAAAAGTGTGGTGTGAACCAAAATTTTTACAAAGGCTGCTAAGCAATTTTAGAAGCAGCATTTGTGTTCTAATATTTTAAAGCTTTTTCATTGATCTCCTGTTAAATGAGAAGCAAGAATTAACCTCAATGACAGTGCTAGTAGCTCTGCAGTCTATTTTGGCCTGTTCTTTAAGTAAAAAGAGCAACCTAGATGAGAATTTTGTGCTTCACTGGATATTGAAAGATGAGGCAATAAACTGCTAAACTTGAGTAATCACACACTCCCAGAGGAATGCCTCAAATGGGGTTGGTCAAAAACCTTGAAATTCTAGCCTTCTGCACACTGCCTGGGCTTTAACATTTGATGAGAGTCATTATAGTGGGGGACTGAATACAAGTGTCTTCTGATTACAGACCTTCCATTAAAAGTTCCCACCAGTGTGCCTTTCCATACAGAAGCGTCAATGGGATTAAAATCTCAATTCACCCCAGTCAATTCTCCAGTAACACGATTTCATTAGAGGCAGGCAGGGAGGAAAATGGACTAGAAAGCACTGAAACAGCTGGTGTATAAATTATAAAGTGTACTTTCTACTAAGTGAACACACCTTCCGCTCAGCCACATTACTAATTAATGTGTAGGGTAGCCGATTTTATGTAAATTGTATTCTTCCTCTCTCCTGTGCTTTGGTTAACAACAGGTTCTTCTAAATCTTGGAAAAAGAAAGATTATGCAAAGCTATCATCATATGAAAATAACGTATTAACATACTGCCTGTGAACTGTATCCAATCAGTTCCTTTTCACTGGCGTGTGTACAAAACAATTAAAATCAAATTTATATTGCACTTCTTTAATATATTCTGGCATTAATATAATCAACGAACAAGTGTTTAAAAGTCTTACAGGCCTATTCTGCTTTAAAATGATATGTTTGTTCTCAGGGTTAGTGGATATTTTCAGCTTCTCTGAAAGGGCACTAAAATGAAAAGTTCTCAGTGTACGAATGCAACTCTGGCAGATTCATGTGGAGCCTGTCTCCTTCCAGAATTTCAGCCTCTCTCAGTCTGTTGTATTCATTTCTTTTAGCTGGTGTCTTCACTCCTGGACTTTTCCAGCTGTTCCCCATGTTACCTGCAACATATTGGTTTATAATTATTGGGTGTTGCTGAATAACAGCTCATAAAGTTTACGAGAGCCCTGAATTGTCTGGATGACCTGCAGGCTGGTTGTGCTACCAGCTGTTCCGGTGTCAGGCAGACACACACACCCAGGAGCTGTCTGCGTGCCTGCCAAGGCCCAGGGTTTCACCTGGAGCCTGAAGGATGGCTCACATGCCACCAGCATATCCTTATTTTCCATGTTTCATGCTCTGAGGCTACGTTTTCCCTGTTTGTTTTCCTAGCTCCCTTTGGTGTACTCTCATGTGACATGTGGCAGGAAGAACTGAGATATTCTGTCACTGCTCTCAGTGCTAGAAGATCTCAGAGACAAAAAAAACTGGTGTGAGTAAAATACTTTTGTCATTCACAGGGGTGGAAAGTCTACCAAGAAGTTATTTATTCTGTCCTTAACAATATCTGCATCTCCCCAGGAACAGAGCCTTGTCGAGCCCCTCCGCCAACAGGCAAGCCACACTTCATCAGGCAGTTTTTCTCAGGGATTCTGAGAAAATTCTCAGGGATTCTGAGAAGATTCAAACAGAACTTTCTTAACACCTCTAGCTGCAGGTAAGCCCGTTTCTTGTCCTACGCGCTGAGGATAAAGAAGAGATTACTCTCTTCTTTGAATTTGCCTTTTACTTATTTTGAGAACCTATCCTCCCTCATACACATATACAGAGACTAATGCTAGTGCCCAGCCAAGATGATTCTTGAAACCATGATCATGAAGCTGGAAATGATTGGTTTTCCCCTCCCCTGGCAGTGCTGAACCTGCCTACAAAGACACATCCCTCTGAGGAGACCAAAAGAGAATGTATTTCCTAGGAGAAATAAATGAGTGAGATCCTCATACCGCTTCTGAGCCTTTTTCTAAAGGAAAACTACTTTTTGTGGCAAGAGACAAACTAAGCTGAGAACATAAGCTGACTTCAATTTGGACCAGAGGATAGTAATAAACCATGGAGGAAAGGTCAGCATCTTTCCATTAAGCAGTCCCATGTCATCCTTATTTATGATTTCCTAACAATGAATTTAGCCAGATAAAAAATGCGATTGGCATAATTCCACTTTGAAATTGCAGATTTGAATTCTTGAAAGTATAAATGGTTGTGCATTTACATTATCAAAAATGGCGTTAGACTCGAACTGCTTATTTTTCTCTTCAGCTCCTTTCACCAAAGCTATGAAATGAAGGTGGGTGAGGAATGCAGAGGAGAGGGAAAAAATACTAGGATTCATTGCCAAGTACTTTCTTTTTGCCCCTCATTTCCTACCAGCTGATTTGGAGTGGCACCAGGCTGAGCAGATGACTGACAGCGTACCTCACACTAACACTTGGGCAGACCTACTGCAGCATTTTCCTCCTTGATGGTGTTGATGGCATAAATGGCAGCAGCCTTGAGGCAGAGGACAGCATCACCTGCAGCTCTTTGTAGGGACAGGATAGGAGTGGAGGAGGTGCACATTCTACCTCTGGTCACAGTGGTGGAAGCCCAGGAAGCATCAGTGAGAACTGAACGTAGCCAAGAAGTTTGCTCTGCAGAGGCACAGATTACAGTCCTTATCTTCCCTGACTGCCCAGCACTCGAGGTAAATGTTGTCTCTCTCATTTCCTCAGGTTGTAAGTCACTGTCAGATCCTTCCCACTGGCTGAGGGACAGTTTAGTGGCACTCTCCAAGCCTGCCAGGACTTGTGGCACTATTACTCACTAAAGGAAAGAGGAGAGACACAGAGCTCTGGTACCTGGGTTTGCTTTCCCACTCACAGCACCAGAAAAAGATGCTCTGTCGCTCTTTCAGAAACACTTTGATGATCAACTATTGCCAAATAAGGTGAACAAATAAATCTCAGGAGCCTCTGAAGGTGATCCTCCATAAATTGCTTAACAAGACTTAACAATGGCTTGTTTGGCTGTTTGCTGGTTTGCTCTTTTTGGAAGGAACAAATGCATGGAAAGATAAGTTTTTACTGTTTTCTAGGCAGCTCAAAATAAAGACAGAACAGAAAAAAGGAAAGAAGCTTCTCTTTCTTTGGGTGGTGTTATCAGGAAGGTTGAAATCTGATGAGTAGGTTCCTCAGTGATTTGGGGGTTGCACATCTTCAGTCAGAGAGATTCTCACATTCCTGCAGTTTTTAAATGGGCTCTTTTCTATGCTGCTGTATTGTTTGTACCAGTGTTTGCTATATTCATGGGAAATTATCCTATTTGTCTTCAGTAGATACTGCACAAGACTCAAAATGAGAAACACATCCATAAACTTTGTTAGGGTTCAATATGTATTTTTTTTTTGTGATAAGGAAAATGAAAAAGATAGTTGTAGTTGCATTTTAATTACATTTATTGGATATACACATTGTCTAAGACCTAGAATATCTCTAGCATGATGAAAGACAGCAAAAGAATGGGATTAGAGCAGACGAAGAAGAGATCTCAGGCCTAAATAGTGATACAGAGAGGATAACCAATCTGAAATGGTTAAAATTGACTAGCTTTAGGGGATGTTTAGTTTCTTAGCACAAATTGCACAAATTTAATTTCTGTATGCATTCCCATAATTATTTTTGTTTCGAAGTAACTGTGAAATTGAGTCTTTTCTTCTACTGATATCGGGTCACTTCTGAAAACAAAGTGTATCTCAGAGAACAGCAATATTATTATTATTCAAAGGCTGCATGCTTGGGCAATTATGCAAACATTGTCCTACTGTCAGTCAGTAAAAATCTTTCCAAAAATACCTGGAACCCTTGAATTAATTAAACTTCTCATCACCTCCTTTGAATGCCGCCATGCAAGGGGTTCACCTCCTCCCCAAACCCACTCCAAAATTCTCCACCCCCAGGTCATTTTATCATGCAGTTGTCCAGCTGAATGTTGTTCTGCAGTGAACACTTTTGCTCCTCTAATCACGGAGTACAAGCTTATATACGTACAGCACTGCAAACTCTGTATGCTCTTTTAGCAAAAGTCATCTTGGTGACTCACACGTTGCGAAAAGTGTGAAATCTACTGAAAGCACATTGCTTCCCTGAAGGAAATAAGCACAGTTTTTGTGGCCTAACCTCAGAGACAGCAGAGGCTGATGTCCCCTTTCCATCATGGCTGGAAGTTTAGTAGCACAGTTCTTATGAAAAGAGCTGAAGAAAAAAAAGACCTGGTGGGAAAAAAACCCAAAAACAACATACCAAGTTTAGTGATATGGACTGTAACAAGATTTTATTTTTTTTACTCCCTAAGTACTCTTAATGGGAATAAATGGTTTATGTTTTTGGATCTGTAGATATTACTGCAGAAATATCCCGCTGGGAAAAGGCTGCATAAGATCTGGCCACCATGTAAATCTCACACTGAAGACTCACTTGGGAAGAAGAAAAGACAAAAATTGTTGTGCTGGCTCTCTAAGTGAAGGTAAGTATTGTCCTACATAAACAGTAATGAGAGCAAAGCTAAATGGTGCCCAAATTTTGTTTCAGGGGCAAACCAGTGTTATGTCAGCCAAAGACTTCATGATTTTTATGAAGGTGGAGAGCTTTTCTCCCTTTGTCTATTCTTACTCCTTGGTAAACAGGCGTGTATAAAGACAGACCTATATAAAAAGGATGGCATTCACATCCTGTGTTTTGTGCCTCCCCCCACCTGGCTACACCCTGTGTGTGTAGTACTCAAAAGGGCAAGTGTGTCCCACAGGGAGGAGGAATATTCAGCGTTCCACAAATGGCTTTGAACCAGCTGCACATCACAAAACCACCCTGCAGAGCCCCTGGGCCTGGGTACTCTTGCTGGGACAAGTTCATCCATGACTGTATGGGGAGCTGCTTAATTGAGGCTCATTATTCCATTTCCTACTGACACCGCGCACCCCACGAGGCGCCGCTCAGGCAAGCACCAGGGGCAGGGGGTGGAACAGCTGCTGCTGCTGGCATGGAAGCAGGAGAGGATGAGGGATAACAGTGCCCTCACCCAGCCCTGCTGCCTCCGTGGTTGGTGCTGCCTGTGAAGAGGAGCAAGCTGCTAATCTGACCCACTCAGACAGGGGCATGCACCTGCCTCGGCCACCACGGGGCCTTTGGCCACAGAGGATGGTGCACTCCTGACAAACTGCCCCCAGCAGGTGTTTCCACCACCCCTTTGGCATGTCTAGCTATCTGTATGTTTTTGTTCTTTTTTATGAAGGTTCATGCTTGGAAGAACCTCAGCTAAAACTCCCAAAGAGGAGAACTTCTCTATTTTAACACATAATGTGAGCCATTTATTTTTTCTTATTCAGGATGCCATCTATATTTTCTTATTCTTTCCAAGGTCAGACAAGCATCCTTCCAAAGCCTCTGATTCTGTTTCTTCAAGCACACAAGCTCACAGGTAGACACAGACTTCCTGTTCATTCCTGGTCCTGTGGATGTCCTGAATCCCTGCTGAGACCCTTGTTCCTATTTCTTTGCAGACATTCTTCCAGTTCTCTGCTGATGTAGTATCCTCAGCTTTCATTATTAAAGACCCATTATGGGCTTTGGCTCCTACAGGTAAATATGCAGTATCATCCACTTTATGTCAACTTTTCCCGAGTACCACAAAAGCTGCTAAAGGAATTAATCACCTTTTGATTTCCATGGGACAGTGGAAAACCTGTGAGAGAGAACTTAGGCAATGATATCTGTTATTATCACCCTTCTGAAACTCACCACTGCTGAGTGAAAATGAGCTTTGTGAAGGTAATCAATCACTGGCCACCACATGGGTTCCCTCAGTATAACATTAAGGGTAAAACTCATCACTTTGAACAGCATCAACGCAGCCTTGTGTAACACCAATTCTCACTCACCCACTTCTGTAGAGGAGATGAAAGAGGGATCTGTTTACTCAAGATGCTCTGGCTTTGCATTTCACCACTCCCAGTGCAAGTAATGACTTGCTGGGCAGCCATTGGCCCGGCCAGGCAAGGGCTTCCTGTGCTGCAAGGTGGCATGGGGCCATGGTAGCTCTGCACATTGACTGAGAAGTCAGATAAATTATAAATGCCAGCATCAAAGCTGTAAAAATGATAAAAATGAATACCACAGTATTATGGAGAGTGCCTTCCTTTGTAGCTGCTGTTAGGTAGTACGCAGTCAATTCATAGAATAAGAAATTATTTCAGAACATCTTGCATTGTACCAGTTTCACTCCCCAAAAAACCCCCTACATAAGTCCCCCCAGAGAATGTTTTAGGTGAGGGATAAACTCAGAGAGACGGTGGTGTCCATTGTGTTAGATTCTGCACATTAAACATTTGGCAACCCAGAGATGAAAGGTGTGAAAGGACCATGTTTGTGGGCAGGGGAGGTTTCTTGTTTGGCAGCACCTGAGAGCAGAGCTGATCCGGTTTAAGGCATTTCAGTCTGGGTTTGTCTTCTCTGCTTGTGTGTAGGTAAAGATGCCCAGGTTATTTCCATGGCACAGGCTTTGCAGGCATGCAGTTGCTGCATCCTGTCACTGGAGACTCAGAAGCAGTGGCAGGTCATCACAGAGAGAATTAGCTCATGTATTTTGACAGGTGAAGTTAAATAAAATGAAATAATTTGACAGGAAGTGAAGCAAAAATTCAACAAAGGAATAGACTTGCATGAATAACAGGTTACCAGATGGGGGGGAAAATGAGGATGGGAAATGTATATACGAATAAATAAATAGAGATATTTTCATAAATCTGTTTCAACCTCAGCAGTTTGACTAGCTCAGAGTTCCCTGTCTGTTGGCCTGTTTGGGTAAGGCAGTGCTGCTATCACAGTAAGTGCTTTCACTTCCTCATACACAGTAAAGGAAATGCAAGAACTCATGCCAAAATCTCGTTCAAAACTGAGTGTGAAGTAGCAAAATAAGAAAGTCCACTTGAGTCTGGAGAGAGTCTAAAACAGGAGCTCTAGGAATTCCAAGCTGCTCTATTAGTCTCATTTCAGGCCCATGGGCTGCACAGGTTTGTGGCCAAGTAACTGTTGATTGTGACTGCTATTCCCACAGGGAAGAAAGAGAAATGCTATACAGGGCATAAAAGCAACAATGGATTTCTGGCAAAATAGTCTTTTCCAGTGTGAGCACAGGCAGCTTTCTGCTCTAAGGAAACAAGGACAACTTTGCAACTAGCATTATCAAGTGGCTAGGACTGTCTTCATAGTGTGATGCTGGTAAAAAACAGAGACAAGCAAGGGAGAAAATGTATCCAAAATTGCAGCAAAGAAATGCATTAGGAGAGGGAAAAAATGATAAACTACACAGGTGGCATGGGAAGCAACAGTGGTGTTTTCTCAATAAAGATGCTGAGGACATCAAATGGGAAAAGGCAGCACAGCTGTGACAGGTCACAGCAGCGAGGGCCAGCCTGTTTCTGAGGACCACTGCAGTAATCCTCAGAAAGAGCCACGGATGTGTGGCACTACCCAGCCCCATCAGGCTGGAGCAGCCTGCAAGCCTCCAGCCAAACACGCTGCCTTTTAGTGCTACACGTCCCCTGGCTGCACACAGCAGGCAAGGGCCATCTGTGAGGGAACAGGGTCCCCTCCTGTGCCTGGCACAGGGCTGGCACAGAGTCAGCTCCAGGGCCACAGGAGATGTGGCTGTGGTAGCCTGGTACCCAGAGCCCTGGAGAAGCACGGTGCCTGTGTCATGGCACTGAGACATCCAGGATGAGGGCAAGGGCACTGAGGAGATCGTGGGACAATGAAAAGACAGTTTAATGTTGCATGTGTTTAGACAGGTAAAGTGACATTTCACCCCTCTCTCAGCCCCTGAATTAACAGGTTAGCCCAGAGATACGAGGCTTTGAGGGCAGGAATATCACAAAATGGGCAAAGATTTCCAACAGAGGTTCTTACCCCAGTGTGGTATTCCAGCTCTTTATTCTATCATGTCCAGGGGAAAGAGTGGGGCAAAGAGGGCAAACAGGAAGGGTTAGGGGTTTATCTAGGCTCTGGACAGGGAGGGCTTCTTGGCTCTCCACCAACCCTGTCAGGGCAGGAAGGAGGGGTCCAGGGTTATCTGATCAGAGTCACGGGGGTCCCGGGGAATGGGGAAAGGCATAGACCGAGTGCACTGTAACAGTAGAACTGTGGTTTGGAGGCCTGAGCAGAGAATTATAATATTCATAGGTTTGTTGTCTTTAAAAGACTGTTTCTTTTAATCTGTTTTGTTCTAAAAATATTGTGTGTTTAAGCACTTTGTTGTTATTCCTGCTGTTCAGACTTTGATATGGGTATATAGGAAAAATCTGCTAGTTATCTAGTTGGCTTGGATGAATTGTTATCTGATGCTAACATGAAATGTAGGCAGAGTCCTGCAGGAGTCATCCTTTGCTCTAAGTGTGCAGTCTTATTAATCACTTTAAAATGTTTCATGGCTCTTAGAGTTGTCAAGATCTCTCTCAATTCTGTACCAAGTGTGAAGCAAAAAGGTAAGAAGGTGCACTTGATTTTAGAGACTCTAAAATAAGAGCTCTAGGAATGGCAAGCTGCTCCATCACTCTCATTTCAGGCCCATGGACTCCACAGACTGTGACCAAGAAACTGCCAAAACCCAACAGTTGGCTACATTTTTACCTGTGTGTGCTATCAAATTTCAGCTATTGCTGGCTAGATTGTGTAGGAATGCAGAGATGGGAAAGGGGGTAATTTTTGTCAGCCAGGGTAAACTAACAGCAGACAGGGTTTTAAAAATAACATCACCATGGAATTTGCCTGACACAAACCTCACCCTGATGCAGAAACATTACATAGCTTTGGGGAAATAAATAACCAACTGCCCTGAAACCTGTTCAACATGAAAGGACTTTGCTGTTCTTTCCTGCACATTTCTAGAAAAAGGACAATTACAGGATAGATATTCTTGACAATTACAAAAATAATCACTTTCAGGATCTGTTGTCACAGCTTGATTCAGCTGTGAGGGAAATACCCTTAGTATTATTTCTGTGTTCAAGTGCTTGAGACATTTATCAGAGATACTGATGTGGAATGCTTATGAGTAAGGTGGAAGATCCCACTTAGCCTCAAATTTCAGGCCAATGGTTTTTGCAAACTTATTGAAATCCAGCCAGGCCAGGCCTTGTTCCTGACAAGGATATAACCAGCTATTACCTCTAATCATGGATTGGTAACCTAGAAAAGTGAAAAGTATAGGAACTTCAGATTTAACCTGACTTCTGTTCTGTCATTTAAGGATCATTTTGCATTGTGTCCACGCATTTGAGCAGAAAATGAATGGTTAACTTTGCAGCCGCTCTTGTAAATAGACTTTTTTTTTTTTTCCACTATTATAAATCTTGCAGAGAAATGAAAAGCAAGAAAATAAAGATGTATTAGGTCCACATGTTCAGGTATTCTAGGTGGGCTTCTGCTGTGTGGGAGCCATAGAAACACACAGACTTTTCCTCATCACCAGCAGAGCTATTCAGCCGGAAGCAAGGCTGATTTCAAACCAGTTTTTGCCTAACACTGCTGGTACCTCCAGCTGAGATCTGCTGGAGGGTGCTGGCTTAATTATAAAGTATCTCCCCTACAGCTGCAGAACACTAATCCTGATTCACCAGAATCCAGTGCCTTTGTTTGATTATAGGAACTAACTTTTGAGAGTTTTGGAGTCAATCTAGCCCTGACCTAAGCCATACAATGGGTACAGAGCAGTCAGGGCACACATTGCATGCTCTCAAGGTGCCTAGCCAGGACACCCACTCTTTGTGACATACTCTACAAGCCTGTCAGCCAGGGTAACAGTGACCTCAGTGTAGCTCTACGGTGCTATTTCAGCAGGACATAAGGTCTTATCATGTACATTTTGTCAATCAGGATTGGATTTTTCTTCCAAGGGAAGAACATTGTGTGGCAACAGTCTCTTGGGACAATCCTCCCCAGAGAATCATGGCAACACAGATGCACTTTTGTGCCTCGATGCATCAGTCAGCTCCTTTTCTGGGACTGAAACTTCGAAATCAGTGGCTCCTGGGAAGGCTGGAGTGGGCCCCAGGGGAAGGGTGGAAAGCAGGCTGTACTCTGTGTTAGCCAGGACCCAGCTGCTCCTTCCTCAGCAGCGAAATAGCGCCCATCCCTCACTCAGCCAGTACCTGCAGGCATTCCAGGTTTGTAAGAATTTTAACATCTCTGGCCCTGAAAGTGTATTTCAACATTTGGGAAAGACTTAAGGCTAAATTAGACAGCACAGTGAAAGGATTTAGTTTTTCCAGAAATTCCTGTGACTTCTGTAACATTTCTACCTTTATTCCTTAGACAAAAATAGCTTTTTTTTTAAGTTGAGGAACTTCTTGAGGGTTGAATGTGACTGAAAAAAGAACATCCTTTTTTTCCAGAAGTTTTTCAGGATTCTTTCCTTGGTCTGTACAGTAAGTGTTTAAAAAAATAATTGAAATACATATTTTGTTAAATGTGCTATAGATTTGTCACAAGTCTAATTAAAATCTGAAGCCACTGCTTTTATATTATTTATAACACTTCTTAGAACACAGTATCATAAATTAAACAGATCTGATCTTAAAGCTTTACAGGTCAAGCCCAGGGCAAAGGGGCCCTGATTTATTTGGAAATTTTGAATGAAAACAGAGGATAGGTATTTATTATTTTAAAAAATAATTCCAACTCTCCAATAATCTTAGGCACTGAGGCCATTATAAAAGAGAGTGAATTTTGGTATGCAAGTAGCAGATAGTGTTTTGCAAAACTACTCTGGTGTTATATTAAAAACTTAAAATCTGTTCACCAGAATTGCTGTCTCCCCACAGCTCACATTATAATTTTCAAACTTACGAAAGCTGCAAGAAACTTCAACCCAAGGTAGGAGAACCCTCTTTTGGAAACCTAAGGCTCGGCTTGTATTTTTGTTAAAACCTTTTCACAGCACACTGTATTATAAAGTGTTTTTAAGTTTGTCTAGTACAACCACGAGGTTGATAGCTTCTCTCCACTCATCTGCATTTAGGGATGACTGTGGTTTTAATGAAACAGAATATTGCAAATACTAATGGATCTTAAATTGCTTATTCTTACCAAGAGGTACTCCAAATAACACATTTGCCTCAAGTATGTGATATAAAGTGATGAGTTAATTCATGTACTTGTGTCAATTGCTTCAAGATACTGAGAATTAGCTGCATTAGTGATATGCTGCTTTTTTTTTTTTCCTCCTTGTGCTTTACATATGAACAGCAAAGTGCATAGGAATGGAGCTCAATTTAAGCTGTGCTATGCAAAGAGGGGAGAAATCTGGTGATGGGCCTACAAATGTCATTGACAAGGTGAGTAAATTCTTTCTTTTTGCATTTTCTTCTTATTCCTTGTACTTAGGCTTGACATAGTTAGGATTTTTGAAGTAGTCTGTGGCAGGGAAATTTCTGATTGCAGTGAATTAGCCAAGAAGAGTTTATCTTCAGGAAAGCCACATCAAATGGAGCTTGAAAATCCCTCCTAGTGACATGCACCAAAGGACAGCTCAAATCACTCCAAGGACCTCTTCTCCACCTGGACTCCCAAACCCACCAGCATCATGTCTTGCAAAAGCAAGGAAAATGTGGGGGCCAATGCACATCCCAGACATATCAAACTTCCCTGGAGATCAAGGGCCAGAGCACAGTGCTATTCCCCAGCCTCAGAGTTCCTCTGAAGTAGAACAGAGCAACAGGTGGTGGCTGTTAATGTGCTGAATGTGGCTTCCCTCTGTGTCCGGCCATGGAAAACAAAGCCAGCGAGCGGATCCATGCCAAACACTTTGCAAGCATGGAGCTTACACAATTGGGCTCCACCCACATGCCTCACATGGGAATTTTCTCCCTCACCAGCTGGGTTAAGATCACAAGATGGGAAAAAGGAGAAGGGGCAAAAAAAAAAAAGAAAAAAGAGCTGGAATTGTTTTCTTTCCATTGTGGCTCCTGACCTGAAAGTTCCTTTGCAGCAGAATAATAGAATAAAGATGAGAGTGAACACTGCTGATGGCTCAAAATCTGGCACCAAAGTTTATTTTTCCTGAGCAGTCTGAGTCTGAACAGTCTTGTCAGACAATGTCAACAGAGGTGAAAAAAAAAATGATGAAAATCATTGAATCTAGTTTGGCTCAAAAATGAATAAATGCACCAGACAGGGTAAGTATATGGCCATTAAAAATGGCATAACCCTGACTGAAAACTGAACACCCTCATATGTATTTTGTACTCTCAAAGGCTTATCTTGCCAGCTGTACTTTTGAATGAGCTAAGTGTCTCCTCGTATGAAATGAATGCGAGTAGGCACACATAAGCTTTCTCATCAGTGTCCATACTCATAGCCGGGTATGGATTGAAGTCTCTCAACTCAGCTTGTTATAGCTATCATGATGCAGAGCCTGAAAATGCCTCTTCTCCAAGTGCAGACAAACGTGAACTGACAAGCACTGTATTTTGCCCTTAAGGCTCCTGTCCATGGTGATGCATCGTCAGTTATTCTCTGTAAAAATCTCTGCCCCCCCCACCCCACATGTGCTTGTCTCTTCCCCTAGTGCTCGTCTAATTTGGAAGCAGGTGGAGTTCCTGGGAAACACAGACTACGCTCCAGCACCAACGTCTTAATGCTCAGGAGGAAGGTGTGTGGGTTGAGCACGAGGCAGGTGCAGGGGTTTGAGAGCCCCAGCCCGAGAAGAAAAGGGATAGAGACCCACAGCACATTGATGCTGCTGTGTGCACCTCGCCCGGGAACCCATGGAGCCTCCACGCCTGTCACCCATGGAAATCAATTTCCTGTTGAGTGGTGCCTGTAGTCAAGAACTAGATGCTCAAAGTCCCATTGTAGCCTGACACGACGAAAATAAAACCCGAGGACAATACAGATGCTGATGTCTTTACTTGCTTTGATAACAATGACACCAGTAAACAATGATGTTTAAGTGCACTTGCATGGTTCTTAAATTAAAAACAAGATAGCCAAGGGCAGTGAGAAGTCACGAGTATTCCTGAGACTGGCACAGAGAAGGGCCCCTTATTTACTTCAAGCTGGAAACAAACCCCGCAGTGTGGGGATGACCATGGTACTTTTGTAAGGGGGTGACAGCTTCCAGGCTCTCAATTCTGTTGTGATTCCCATTCCACAAAACTCCATTTACATAGTCACAAGAGCAGCGGGGCTTGAGGCTGGGGCATTGCAACGTGTTTGATACAGGCACTGAGACCTGTTCTCTGTGGGTGCTTCAGAAGAGAAAGAAAATGGAGTGCTAAAAAAACCTCTTCCTGCTTTCCTTCTTTCATTTTACAGGAAAAGAAAAGGCTAAAGGCTCTGCTGGAGTGACTCCATTGACTCCCATGGCTTTCGTGGGCTTCAATTTGCAAAACAGACGGAAGAAGAGAAAACCCTTCCTCCACCTCTCTCCCCTGCAATTCTTGAAAGTGACATCTGTGCAGTGCTGCAGGAAAGATTACACATCTTAGTCTTATTTTTTTTTTTACCCTGCCACTCCCAATTTATTCATGCCCACTATCATAATATTAATTTTTCGCAAG